ATAAAAAAAAATATATATATATTATATAAGTATATATATATAATAAATACTTCTATTAAAGTATTTAATTCTTATCAATCAAACCATTTTACCGAAATTTTATCAATTTGGTATAAATCTTTATTGCTTAAGAATTTCCTTATTCATAGCTTATGGTACGGCTTGAGCTGTAGTACACATTTTTTCGTAATCTTAACAGAGTGAGAGATTCGCCACGGCACCCCTCTTTATGTTGCTTAATATAGTTGTCATCCCTTACAGACTGGAAATAATAATTTTCATCTTGATGGTTTATTTAGAATGTGCTGCATATGTGTGAAGTATGTTAGAAATGTCTACAGCTGATTTTGACAGGCACTCTATCGCTAGCCAAATGTCTTGAAGACTCTTTAGCAGTGCTGCTCGGATGCTTGGGTACCCCTCTTTGTGGCAGGAGCAACCCTTTCGTTGACTTTTTCCAACTGCAACACGTATTCGAGTGCAACGCAGTGGTCTTTGGACATTTCGCATAGCTCAGCCTATGAAAAAACGTGCAAGATTTCAAGAAATTTCTTTCTTTGCAATACCCAAACCACAGAATGTGAACCCTTTCAGAGCCATTGACACTGGGAGCTGTACGCGCTTTTGTGCGAAAATATGCAATTGAAATGTTAAATAAATAAAGGCGTAAATACTTGAAGGGCAAAGCAGCGACAAGGCACAACATTCAAATGATGTTGTGTTGGACGTTGTGGCTATATGTGTGTATGTGTGTATACTAGTACATATACCACAAAAAAAAAAACCAAATATTAATGGCCAACTTAGTGCTATCGAAAGTTGAATACTCTAATAAGAAGTTTGTGTTTGTAATAACTAAACTTCTAGTTCCTAGATCTATTAGGTTTAAATACTGAAGTATTTTAATTGACTATATATTTATATGTGTTCGTAATATGTTAATATTTAATGTGTATAATTTATATAAAATTGTATTTCAGGTATATGTGAAGGTTTAAATGTCCTTTTGACATATTTCAATAATACAAACAAAAAAATATTTATACAAAATATGTATACCAAATTATATTAACCAGAGCTAAGTTAACGTGGTCCAATATTGTGAAATATTTCTTTACTTAAATGAGCACTCATCTAAATTTGTAATGTGGTTCCTAAATGATGATATGTATTTATCCGATACGGTTCTTTGTGATATATGTTTATGATTCAGTAAGTTTAGTATATATTATAGTATTATAGTATTAAAGGTGTTAGTTAATATTAGATAACAAAAAATTTCACTTTATAGTTAGTAAAATTTAGTAAAATTAGCAACCTTCTTTTTGAAAAATATTAACAAAAAGTTCAGTTATTGCAACTACAGGCAGATATGCCCAAATAGACCACAGTTCACATAGACTACTATTAATAATAGAGCAGCAAAAAATTATCTTTCTAATTAAAAATGAACTTTATATTTCTCTCTCTGTCCCGCTGGTTAAGCGTTACACATTTCTCGACAAATTTATAGTACTCCATGTGAAGGGGAGTTACAGAAAAAGAAGAGAGTCCCGTTATGCATTCCATAACTTGGGAGTCGTCCTCCTCGTCGTCATCGTCGTCAGACGTTGACGTTGAAATGAATGAATGAAAATATGCAGGCAACGTGATTCGCAGCGACGCGACGCCATATTGCTTTGGGTAGAATTGGGGGGCGAAACGTAACCGTTGGCAATGGCAGTGCCGTTAACGTTAACGTTACCGTTACCTCTTTTCCGCTTTTCCGCAAGCATGGAACGATCGAGAGAGAGAGAGGAAGAAGGGGCACCATATTCGCATTTGCTGGTTTGGTATTTTCTGTCGAGTTCAGCGTAAATTCATTCATTTCCACTTGAATTTACAATTATGCGAAACTGTTGTTGAATGGGTTTTGACTTGCTCGGAGGTTTTACGGATTTGGTTTGAGGAGATTTCGGAGAGGGATTTTCGTAGCTGTTGGTAACGCTTATGCATTTGCATTTGCCGGCAGCAACAACTCCACTGTTTAGCTTTTAATTAACTATGGAGTGAGCTCTGAGGAACTGCATCGGGAGCATATACTTATATACAACTCTATCGCAGCTGGAAGCTCCCCAATTGGCAATTGTCAACAGCAGCTGCTAAAAGTTTGCTACCCAAGCGTTGCCAAGGTGCGTAGCTGGGTATGAATTTTCTGCATGATGCGATTTATTTACTGAGCGCTTATGGAATGTAATTAACTTTATGAGGTGTACATGCAAAAGCTGTCAAGGGCGATTAAATGTTTGTGCATTTATGTCGTGTGGGAGAAACTCAGCTTTGAATTTGTTTAGCAGTTGGAATTGAGACTTGTTCCAGCACTCAGTTAATCAATGGCCATAAACTTTGAATGAATCACTCTATCAGTTGATGGTGTTCTACAACGTCTTTGCAGCAAGCCAATTGATTAACGTGAGCCTATTCATTATGTTAGAGATATTCAATGATATATTTATTCTAGTTATTTGCTCATTGTTAATTGTGAAATTGTTTATTTACTATTAAGATTTTGTGTATATTAATAACATGTATATAAGAAGAAATTTTCTCTTAAACTTTTACACAAATTCCTAGTCCATTCGTATTTGGCAAAAGTTTTCCAGTGAAGCTTTGCTTTAAGAACTTGCTCAAATTTGAACGTTTTATGTTCCGTAGATCTTAATTTAATTAAAAAAAAATTTTATATCTCAAGAAGTATGATTTTTAAAGGAATTCCTATATTTAATCTCGCTTATTTTGTAATACTCTTTTCTAGAAACCCTATCGCCTACTAGTAATCAACCATATGCTCTTATGCCATTTTCATTTTTTGTAATAAAAACTTTTTGAGCAAATAAAAAAAAAACTTTTCAAATGCCACTTCACGTGGGTGGTAAAACCTGTTTTTTTTGTATGGTTGCCCAACTGCAGGGGCACTTCAGCTAGTTGCCAATGCAATTCAATGTCATATCCTTGAAAACTTAAAAACAGCACAGCCTGGAATATGGCTAAGGAAAAAGACCAACAAATAGAAAGAAAGAAAAAATATCAACGGCAAACGGAAAGTTTTGTTATTGAAAGTTCATCGATGAATGCGAAATAGAGTTGGGCAAAAGCTCGGTGCCAAATCCAGTTTTCAGTTTCCCGGAACACTCAACCGATCGAGTTGCCAGTTGCGAGTTGCGAGTTGCGATTTGCAGTTGTGAGCCTCCTGTTTCCTTGCGGCTGCTTACAGTCCATTTCCTTGTAGCCCGTTTCACAATTTTCAATTTCTTTTGTATATATGCGATGCCACATTGTAAGCAGTTGCTGCCACTGCTGCTCTGAGCCTCTGTGTCGTCGACTAATTTCCTCGGCCAAGTCCAGACGTCGTCAGCGGCATATCCTGCCAGCCGGAGAGTCAGCCAGCCAGACAGCCAGGCAGGCAGCCAGTCGGAGCTGGGCTGTCTGCTTAGCCCAACATTTGTATGTGGGCAATGCGTTTGGGGGCAGTCGTTCCGTTGTTTGCATTTTTATTTGTATTTCATTTTCAATTGACTGACAGAGTCCGTTGCCCGCCTACCTGGCGGCTACCTGGGCGCAAAGTTCAGTTCAGGTATGCGCTTTGTGTGCTCCAGTCCATTCATCAGAGTTATTTACTTTTTAACGAGTTGATTTCATTCAATTTGTTTGCCCAGGTTTCAGTGGCTATTACTGACAAACATAGCTCTCGTAGCAGCATGAAAAAAGGGTTGCCACCCCGTTGCAATATACTTGAATATTATTTAGCCACACTTTAAGCTGCATCTTATGCCCGTATAGCGTGCTCCATTAAAGCTCTCTCTCTCTCTCTCTCTCTCCTAGTATATACGTATATGTATGTGTGTGTGTGTATAAACAAGTGAGTCGCAAACTCGGCAATTTCTTTCATTTTCCGATTTTTGTTTTTCTTTGGCCTTTATATACCCTGTACTTAGAAAGGAATTACGGTAGGGTATGCAATGCTTTTATCGATTTATATAATAATTAAATGAAGAAATTTTTTTTAATATGCTCAATTATTTTTACAAATTAGCCGAATGCATGTGCGAGAATTATGTCTACTATATAATAAACTAGATAAAAATTAAAAAAATAATATACAAATATTTTGTATAGATATATTTTATAAAATCATTCAACAATCTTAACTTAATATATTTGCCGCGCCTTAGAGTATGCCGCTTTAGATCCACTCATTGAATAACTCTCAGCCAAGCACACTTAACTTTCATGCTTCCTGTTTATTTTTTGCTACATCCTCGTCTTTGGAGAAGTCAAGTTCTGGTGCCTCTTGGCGTTTTTTCGGTTTCAATAAATATTTTCGCAATGCACAAATTAAAAATTCTTCGAAATAATAATAGAACATGACGAGAGAATGGCGCACACTCAACCCGCAAGCTGTCAAGGCAGCGTTGTCTATTTAACAACAAAACTTTCTATGCCTTCAGCCTGCAGCCTTCCGATAACAACAACCAGACGAAGAACAACATCGAAGTGTCCCGACCCTGTCAATTCGATTGAAATTGTTGCCAGTGGCTATGATTTTATGAGTATTTCGTTTGTCTTGTCGAAGCGTTCAAATATATAATTAAATTGTTAGCATTTTGCAGATGCTTTTAAAATATGATCAAAAATTAACCAAGTATCCTGTTTAAGTGGCAAGTGGCGCCATCTGTTGGACGACAGCGTCGGCGGCAGCTAAGTGAGAGAGAAAAAAGCTAAAGAATACAACAAATATTGAAGATATTTGCAGCGTAAATGAACTAAATTTTTGGGCTATTAGAGAGTATAAGGAAAGAAAAACTTGTAAGTTTTTGATGGTGGCGCCATCTGTTGAGCAGCAGCTCGAACTCAATTACGCAAGCCAAACCACAACGATGCGGAAAATATTCGAAGAGTTTACTTTGCTGAAAGCCATATTAAATTTGAAAATAATAAAAGCATGCTTAAGAAATTTTATTTGCTCCGCTCAAGTAGATATTCTGTGTGTATATTTATTTTGTGAATTACTATATATAATGCCTTGGCTTCCCCTTCTGCAGCTATGTTTACATCTTCATCATCTCGGTGACATGCTTCTCCAGGCAGACCATGATTTGGAACGCCGTGTCACAGGGATTGGCACCGGAGACACTGCCGCAGGCTTCCAAAGCCTTTTCCGCCTGCCCCTTAAGGGGTTCGTCCTTGAAGAAATCCAAAACTTTAGCATTTTGCAGCACGCCCTTGCTGTTCATGAAGCCAAGCTTTGCGAAGACACACTGAGAGGCACACTTGACATTATCCTTGACATCCTCAAGCTTTACGTCGCCAGACTTCAGACTACTAAGTTCTTGTTCCGAAACGCCATTCTCTGTCATGCAGCTGGACACAGCCATTTCCACACTCTCAGCCTGGACGAAAAGTACCAGAAATTTTATTAAACTAAATATGGGTTTCTTCTGACTCGAATCGCGCTTACCGCCAGATAGCTTATTAGGCAGCTCAAAAGCAAAATGCATGCAAATTTGTTCTTCATTCTGAGCTTGTTTGGATCACACTAATTTGTTTTTAGCTCGAACTGCACTTTTATAGTTAATCCACGGATTTGCAACTGCATATTTCATGCTTTATTTTAAATGATTATCTAAAGCTGGTTACGCTCATTGCACATATGAGTACAGTGGGCACAATTGTCACTGCCACGGCCACAGTGTGTCGTAATGCTGGAGTGTAATTAGCGCTCGAATCATTTGATAAGCGTGACAGATAAGCAACACAGTCGAGTTAGTCAAACTGAAATTATCATTTCTAATATGATTTGGTTAAAATTAGCTGCGATTCTTTTTCTTTTATATAAGATTGTAATATTTTCGAGTAAAAGAAGATTTATACTAAAGAAGCTTAGGAATTTTTTATATATTTTTCAGGCATATTTTTGAAAATATCTTTATTTATTTTCTTTTTAAAAATTTTCTAAGCGTCTTTCTTTCGAGTGGAATTAGTTTTATTCTAATTGTAAAGTGAATAAGACTTATAGCTAAATTATAAATTTGATTTGGTACTTGAATTCAGGTGCTCATTATCTTTGACATTCAATCGTGTTCTATATATTTAATATCTTATTTTAATTTATCTAAATTTTTTACAAATTCATTTCACAGCCGTTTCATTAACGTCTGTTTTTTAGTTTTTATTATTATTTGATCAGATTAGTTTAATTATAGATACAAATATACAACTAATTTCTGGTACATTTTGTGCGCAGATACATTTGTTTCCATCATATGCCTCGCGGGTGTCGATTGAACTGCAATAAAATGCATGCTTTTCCGTTTTGTATTTTTTTCTCACTAAATACCTAGATTACCGTTAGCTTATGTATAAATATATTTTTTGTAAGCAATTTATAAACATGCAAAAAGCATTTGGGCATATTAATTAAAATCGTTTTATTGTAATTGTTCATACATTGCAATTATCTATTTTTTCCCACCAGTTTTTTGCGAGCGCCGCTTCATTATTTTTGCATTAACGTAACGTTAATTGCATTTTGACGATTTTGTGTTAATTGCCTTCGTATTTGTTGTTGTTTATTATAATTCAGTTAGCTATTTGTATTATTATTAATAATTTGCTGGCATTGAAAGGTTTTTAGCATCGCGTTGAACATGAGTTTCAGCCACTAATTGAAATCCTTTTACAGTAATTAAGAAAAAATGGTAATGGAATGCGGCAAGATATGAGAGCTTGCTGCCAACTGCTTGCCACGCCCTTCACACTGGCCCGCTTTGTGGTCCAGTTAGAAAAACAAACTAATTTAGTAAATTACTATTTAGTGGGCACCTTTTATATGGCCGAGAAATACGATGTTGGCCACCTGGCCGCAGTTTTGGCCACACACAAAGGTCATTTTCGGGCTTTGAAGTTGGGCTTTGAAATGCGCCAAAGGACATTTAACAAATGGCATGCTTTGTGCTTGTGTGTGTGTGTGTGTGTGTGTGATGGTGTGAGTTAGTAGTGTGTACTCCCATACATTCGCATTGCAATTGCTGTTGGAACATCAAAGCAATGCGAGTTTTCCAGTTGACTTCATCAGTAGATTGTGTGAAGTATGCCAAAAATGTGTTGCAAACTGTCCAACAAAACCACGTTGTGTACACCCTATAAGGCGTGAGCATGAGAGAAGTGCCAACAAGAGAATAAACAAAACAGATTGAGGATGAAAAGTAAAGTTGAAAACAACAAAGTCAAATTATCATGCGCATCAAAAGTATTTCAAACTCTTCCTTTTATTACAGAGTATCTGCAATTCGTTTACAAATTTGTTGTTTTTTTTTTTGCTATGCAGCAACTCACGCTGTTGGCCTTTTTGGGCAGTGGAACTTAAAGTAATGCCATAAAATTGAATGCTTAACAAGCTCTTTGGCTGCGAGGCACGTGCTGAGCCAGCTCTGGACTTTAGTGTTAACGCGATTTCTTACACGAATCAAATGTATTGGAGAGTAAAATAATATTGGCCAAGCTTTTAAAATACATTTTACATGCACTTCAATTTAATTGACGCGTGGCCTCGTCTTTCTACTGCTCAAGCGAAATTTGAGATAAAGAACTTTTTCAGAGTGAGCCATTCAATTAGTTTAACACCCCCAAGGTATTAAGATTGGGTTGGCAAAGACGGGGACGTGAGCGGGGCTGGGGTTGGGGAGGTGGCACAACAATTGCTTCTCATCTTACATCAAAAAGGGGCTACTTGAAAAGCTACTGAAGCAAGTGAATGAAACTAGATATGCAGTTAAAAACGGAGGTCGGCCAAATCGCTGGCAGCCCAATGTGGGTGCACATGAAAATGTATATGGAAAATATTATAATTACCCATTAAGACTTGAAATATTTGCGGAACTAGCAGATAATAATTATATGATATTTGGTGCACAAACAACATTAAACTTAATCACATACATTTTTTACAAAATATTAATAGGCATCAAGTAACAAGTTTACAACGTGCGTATTAATGTCGTATCAAATGAGAAACATGCATAAGTTTATATCATGTATAGTTCTTGGGGTTGAGCAGAAGATTGGTCATTATTGTTGTTGTTGTCATTTGGTTTATTTATTGGTCTTCCTCAATTAATCTACAAAATGGCAAATGGGGAAAAACATATTTTTCCAGTCGTTAGCGCTCGACTGCAACATTTTTATTTGATTTAAATTGTTTTATGCACTACACTTATTGTATTTTCTCTCTTTTTTGCAGTCATTAAATACACTACCATTTGATGCAACAAAATTCTTTATAGACCCATTGAAAAATTATTGTATTCTATTATAAATAGCTTTAAAAGTAATGTTATCACTGACCTCGCAAGAATATGCTAAGAGTAGCTCATGTAAAATATTCCTCAATATAAATTCTTAAATAAAACATTAAATATGTGTGTTAACAACCCTGTGACCTATTTTAATTTATATTTTTTATAGGTATATAAAGTAAATTTATTTCTATATCTTTTATGTCGCTTGGAAATTGAGTTGTTGGTCGTCGTTGTTAGGCCAAAGAAATTTGCACAATTTACAATGCTTACCTAGCAAAGCATTCACAAATCCCCTATAGTCCCCGCTCTTACTCTCCCTCTCACTGTGTTTCTAGCGCCCGATCTGTGAAAAGCCTGGCACATATTACGGGTGGCAAAAAAGAACATAAATACAAAATGCAGCCAGGCATAAGAAGCTACCACAGACCATTGACAATTACGTGAATACCTATGCCAGCGCCCCTCATCGCCAACGGCTGCTCTCTTCCATCCCTTCGACACATGTACATGGGCCCCGCTTTGCCCTGAAGGCCCTTTAAAATAGCAAACTAGACCGGGCAATGGCTCCACACTGGCTACGTAATATGTCCTGGGGCTTAGTTGGCATGTGTTGCTGTTGTTGTTGTTGTTGTTGTTGTTATTCTTGTTGGTGTTGCAGCCTCGATGAGGCTATTGTCTGACTGAGGGCTTTACAACTCATAAACAGCAGCCCCTCAGCCGACTAGTAATAACAGTTTAAGCTCGAGGCACTGCCCGAAAATTGTCCACATCTCGTTGTTTAATTTTTTTAGCTTCTTCTTCTTATGTATATACCCTAACCAAGGTTGACCTAGCTAATTCTTGAAATTTATTATACAAAAAAAAATAAGAGAAACCAAAATTTAATTTGAACAAATAAAGGAGTTTTAAGAAACGTAATCTGTTTTTATTGATAAATACCTTATTAGACTTAGATTTTATTTTGATTTGTTGTTGCTTCGGTGTCTCTTTCTTTGTCTTTCCAATAAAAGAAATTAATTCATGATGTTGTTTAGAGTTTTGAAATTTCATTGATTCCATTGATAAATTTTAGCAACTTATTTTTGCCAATTTATTTGGATTATTTGTTTATTCTTAGAGATGAAACCATGGTGAATGTTTCTAAAAAAGAACAATGTATTTAAATGGCTTAAATCGTATTACTGCATTGTCATCTATCATCTAGTAATAGTTTGAAAATCTTACTTAAGAAAGTACAATGACAAATACTGTCAAGTCTGTGTCAGCAAGGGTATTCAGTCTTCTACAGCCCTAGTGTCTTCTGCCTTGTTTATAACAAGCATTTTTACATGTGCTAAAAAAACAACAAGTAAAGCTCGAGCGCCCCCGACCATCCAATTTCAAGAAAAGGAAACCCGCGGCATTCCCCGAATTTTTTGTCGGCCTGGCTGCATGTGCGTTTATGACTTCATAATGAAAGCTAGACAGGAGCAGGACGATGACTTTGGGGAGGCATTACCAGACCAGAGCCCAGAACCCAGAGCCCAGAGCTGCATTGCAGCATCCGAGGGGGGAATGGCTTGGCTTGGCTTGGCTTGCTGTTGTTCTGGATTTGCGTAGGCGTTGCGTTAACATGCGACTAAGTCCTTTTATATCCTGCAGCATTCGCTTTGGCCTTAGCTCTGGCTACATACATATCTTTAGCCTTAGACTATCATCAATTGCTGTCCCCATGGTGTAGTTAGGCTGGCCCGCAGCTCCCACACCCCATAAGCATCCCCCTCCCATTCATTTTCATATGGGCCAAGCAACAGAATTTAATGCCGACCTCTGGGAGCTATTGTGGCCGTGGCAGCCGCATCTTGGCCGCGGCCCGAGCTCTATGCAAGTCTAATGTTCATATGTGTTGAGGGGGGCAGAGCTTGGGTGGTTTATTTTTATAAACAATTTTAAATTGCTGTCCAAAATGGTTTCGGCCCTTTGTAGGCAAATTGTTTTATATGCGCCCGGGTCCTGTGCAGTTTATTGACTTTGATGGGGCCGGCCAGATGGGCATTATTTTGCATAATCCAAGCGTAACTGAAACTATGTGGCTCCATAATGCGCCACATTAACTTTGCAGCGCGCACAAAAATATATATGCTCATGTCTTTTATAAATCACGACGCAAATAAATAAAAACAAAGCCGAGATAATGCGCAAAAAATTAGAAATAAGCGCAAAATAATAATCCAACTTCAGGGCGCAGA